CTCATTCCTTCTTCAAAATTGTACTTATTTTGTGATCCAAACCAATCACCAACTTTTTTTTTTTTTTTTTTTTTTTTTTGTAGGAAAGCACGTGATGATGACAACGACGGCAACAATGATGATGATTCTCCAGACATGAGCATTACAGAGGAAAATAAAATTGGTCACTCAATATCCCACAAGCATGACCTTGAGCTGAAAAAGTATAATAAACCTTTCATCTGCAGTGGATGCAAGGAGATGGGTTATGGGCATAGATTCAGATGTGAGTCCTGTGACTATGAATTTTATAAGGAGTGTAAGGAATGCTTGATCTCTAAACGCGAAATTTCCCATGAAATTTTCAAAGAATGCACCTTCAAATTCTTTGATAAACTGTCAGACAAAGTCTGCGACGCTTGTGGGAAGGACATATGCGGCTTTGCTTACCACAGCGAAGCCGAGGGCAAGTCACTGGACTTGCACCCTTGTTGCAGCAACCTCATAAGTAAAATATGCATGGATGGCTATGATTTTGAGCTTCATGAAGAGGTGTTATCGAAATGCAAGTGGTGCAACAAGAAAGATCTTCAGGGCAGCAAGAAGGGCGTTAATATTTAGGGCTGGTCTTACATTTCTACTTGCAAAAGGTGTCACTTCCATGTCTACTGTGTGACTGAAATGGTGCGTGAAGCGTGGAGGCAGGGGTTGATTGATAACATTGATTCCATGGCATTAAAGAAGATGAATCCACAAGTTGTAGTTAATTCCAATAGGGTTGATGGTAGAAGAGAAAGTGAGATTGGTAGGAAGCCACTGAAGTTGTTCCTCAAAGCCATAATCGGTGTTCTTTTGGGGGATCCAACAATGATTCTTGGATCTGTCCCGGTGGATCTGCTAACATAATAAATATATCATCATAGAGCACAGATGAACAATTTTATTATTATTATTATTAATTTAATTTTTTATTTTTTATTTTTTTGTGTATGAATAGATGGCATAAACAATGTCAATGACTTTGCCATTAAAAAAAAAAAAAAAAAAATTTGTCAATGAAATTTTATAATAATTATTATATATGTGATTTTGTGAATTTTTATTTTTATTTTTATTTTTTATTTATATATATATATATATAGAAAAATCACTCTCTTATTAGGCTCCAAGTGTTGTTTATTCCCTAATTTATTATTATTATTATTAGGGCCTGTTTGGCATCTGTTTTGTTTTGTTTTTGGCCTGCTACAGTAGTCCTTTTGAAGCCCAAAATATGTTTGGCTGGGCTTTTTGTGTTTTAAATAGTTCCAAAACAATTTCAAAAATTGGCCCAAAATATGAAACACCATTTTGGTGTTTTTTCATGTTTCGGCACTGTTTGGGCTACAAATTACTGTAGCGGAGGAAACAATTCTTTCATTAAACTGTAGCAAGTATAACACGTATAAAAGGCAAAATATTATTTTCTAGGGTTTTGTTTGGCGTAGCTGTTCTTGGCGATTTTGGGCGATCGCATATCAATTCCAATCGCCTCCATCTCTATTCTCGTTCTTTACTCTGATCTTGCCCTCTCTCTGTGTCTGCAAGTGCAAGCTACAAAATCTACAAGAATCAGAAGTTCAAAACCCATTTATTTCAGTTTATCTATCTGTCTGCACCTATTATTACCTATACCTCCATCTCTATTCTCGTTCTCAGATCTGAACTTGCCCTCTCTGTCTCCCCTCTCTCTCTCTCGTTCTCAGATATGAACTTGCCCTCTCTGTCTCCTCTCTCTCTCTCTCTGCAATTGCAAACTACAAAAATCTACAAGAATCAGAAGTTCAAAACCCATATATTTCAGAAGTTCAAAACCCATATCTGTTTGCAAGAATCAAAACCTATTACCTATATAATCAAAACCTATTACCTATATCAAAACCCATACGGGCATATCATTTCAGATTGTTCAAAAAATCAAAACCCATATCTTTCAGTTTCCATCACCTGCTGTTCCAGTTCGGGTTCGCCGTTCACAAGCTTCCATCGCCTGTTGTTACCTAACAGTTTATTGCAAAAATTAATATATATATATATATCTATATATATATATATATATATATATATATATATATATATTTGTGAGACCAAACATGTTTTTGTTTCCCCCATTTCCACAACAAAATATAGTCCCCAAACGTGTTTTAGAATTTTTCCAAAACACTCTTACAACAAAAACATTGTTTCTGTTTTAACCAAAAACAAAACGCTAAAAACAAAACGCATGCCAAATGGACCCTTAGGCTCCTAGGTGTTGTACCAGGATGCAGAACGAAGAAGCTTCATTTCAGTTATTGCTGTTCAATGGCCTTTTAAGTTTGGGTAATTTACACGGATCTCCCCTATGATTGTCATAATTACAGGGACCTCCCCCAAAAATGAAACTAACTAACACGGACCTCCCTTCCTTGTGACGGACCGCTAAATGTACTAACGAACCTATCTAATTTACTTAAATGCCCTTATATTGTTACAATAAATTACTAAAGTACCTATCTATAATATATATTATATACCTAAATTATAATATATATTACATCTAACGTGCTGCTTGTAGGCGCTGATATGTGGTAGGACTAGGCTTGGGTCTGGTTGAGAGCGGGGTGGCCGAATTTACAGGTGTTGTGGACGATGAGCATGGTAGAGGCGCGACCGCGCGATAAGCTTGACGAGGTAGAGGACGTATATGTAGATTGGGGATTTCTTGGTGGGGTGAGTGGCATTGATGGGGGTGAGAGGCATCTTCTTAGTGACCGCGCTTGCTCCAGCTATTCTCTCCGCCGTCCGACTACTGTCCATACACACACCTTAGTAGTGGCAGCAAGCAAAGAAGGTGTCAACAAGTCAACGACCCTGCTCGTCTTAATACGAACCGAAATTATCGATTAGAGATGACAACACCGATTTGAGTCTTTGTCACCGACGCCCGACTACTATCTATATACACACCTTAGTAGCAGCATCAAGCAAAGAAGGTGGCAACAAGTCAACGACCCTACTCGTCGATAACACCTCAGAAATGATATGAAAAAAAACAATTAAAATAGAAATGAAAAAATTAAAAAATAAAATAAAAAATTTAAATAATATTATGTACATTTTGAATCATGATATGAAAAAAAAACAAAAAAAACGAAAAAAAAAAAACAGTTAGATTATATTTCACAGGCATGGGTTTGGAGCTTTGGAATTGAAAAAAAAAAAAAACCAAAATGTTCTTCAATTTCACCAATTTTAATTCCAAAGCTCCAAATCTATGCCGCCAAACACAGCCAACATACAATATTAATATTATTAGAACTGTAGAGATAAACTGATTTTTTGAAGGAAAATTTAGAACAAATATCACTAGCAAAAACTATGATGGTCAAAACTAGAAGATAAAAATAATTTTACCTTAACCACTAGGTTCGGGAGCATGTTAGCAGTGACAAAATAATTTTACCTTAACCACTACAGAAGATAAAAAATAAAATTGAAGGATAGCTACGGTCAAGTGTCAATCCAACTATGCTGAACTTTCTTTTCCTTTTATTCTTTCACACCAGTGGCAGTGGGAGAACAAACAGTGCACATGCTTTGGATGTGTGGGAAATGTCAAGGATGTGCTGGAAAAGACTAAAGGAGTGCATTCAAGTACCATTGATGCAAATGAAGGGAAGATCACCGTCTCAGGTACCGCGGATCCAACGATGCTTCTTGCTTCTGTCCTGGTGGATACGTTTACATAATAAAGCATGGAGCACAAATGAAGACAAGCCATAAACTTTTTGTTTGTTTGTTTGTTTGTTTGTTATGTTATGTAGATATGGCATGAAGAGTTTGTAAATGTCTTTTGTACATTATTATTAATTTTTTATTACTTTTATAGATGTGATTTTGTGAAATTTTACTAAATGCCCTCCCTCACTAGTTAATAATCCATGCCTTGTTTTGTGTACAACTTCTTCACATTTCTTTGATTCTCTTCAAAATAAATAAATAATTGCATTCCTCCTCTTCAATCAAATCCTAATCGTCCTTCCATTCAAAGTCTTCTCATTTTTCTTTTCTTCTTCTTTTTCTTCCACCTTTTTTCTCGTCTTTTAAAAAAAAAGTTCTTCTACTCACGTATGATGTATGTGTAGTATAATATTCTTTTCTCTGTCCTTGTTTTTGTTTCTTATTCAAATTTCTTATTGTAAATTTTATGAAATTAATGTTTGTATCTTATGTTTCTGAATTGTTTTTGGCAGCAATTTATTGTTTAATGCAACAACTAATTTAGTTTCAGATTAGCTTAACTTGTAACTTTGTACAACTTCATAGTTGTGACTTAAAAAATACCTAGAAGGAGGTCACTTTTTACTCAAAACTCTCATTTCCATTCAAAATTTTGAACTTTATATATTAAAACACTCTTGTGATTTCCAAGGTACCTTGAATAAAGTCATTTTTAAGTCAAAACTCTGGTTTTCATTCAAAGTTTCTAACGTTACAAATTAAAACACTCTCTTGACTTCAATGCAACCTTGAATAAGGTCATTTTTTACTTAAAACTCTCATTTTTTTATACCATTTCTAAATTATACATTAAAAAACTCTCGTAAATTCAAAGTTTCCTTGAATAAGTCATTCTTAACTCAAAACTATCATTTCACCATGTATAATTATTGGAGTGATCCTTATTTTTCTGAAATATCCCTAATATAAATGAACAAAATGAGATTAATCAAAATTTTAAATGCAGATAAAAATTATCCAAAATTTGAAGCGCATCAGTGAAGAATAACAAGCAAATAAGACGCAGGGTATCGATTAGGAAATGAATGGAGAATATTTAAAATTACTGGTGATCTCTCAATTGACTTAGAAAAAGGCACTATCTATTTGACATTGTAATGCCATTTTCTGAGCTAATTATTTGTATGAGAAGAGCAATCCATATTTACAAATGAGTTAAAACCACCTGGAGAACAAAATTAACTTAAATAGCAGCTTACTTGTTCCTCGAAGAAACGAACGAATGATTTTGATCCAGCACAGTGAGGAATCTTTAAGAACTCTGTTTGCCTGCATTTTTTTTTAAGTTCGTCACACAATGCTATTTTTTAAAAATAATAATTATACTAGAATATATAACAACAAAAATAAGAATGAAGGTATATGACTGCACGTGGATATGAGTTGCAGCATATGAAGGACATCAATAAAAAAACCTAACAGAGGTCTAATCAATTAAGCAAGAAAATGTAGAATAATAACAGAGCACTTGCAAATATCAAAATTTGATACAGTAAACAATGCTAAAGCAAACGTAACTAGGTTTCAGCTTTCAAAAACACTACTGAAATTGAAAAAAACAAGCAAAAATTGAAGTAATCATACAGAAAAAAATTGATGTCTTCTTCTAATTGACAGTGCCGAAAATATCCACAAACCTACTAAAAACCAGAAAGCTATTATATGATAGCATTAAGTTCGATATAACTTCCTAAAGGGAACAACCAAAAAAAAATGACCACTTTATAAGCAAAAACAGCATTCGGAATCTAGAAAGGTATTCAATTATAAGCACAGGTCTAATGTTTATGAGTGGTGGAATTTGGTGGGAGAAACTAACTTGCAAGGAATTGAGTTCTCTCACATTATTGAATTCACTCTAATCTTCTATCAGAGTAGGGAAAGAGACAATTCCAAGAAAAAAACAGAGGGTTGAAGAGCAATTCTCACAAGTGATGCAATAATTCTATCATACAATCCACTAATAATATACAAACAATAAAATAAAGCCAAAAGCTAACACGCAATTAATTACACAAGAAACCAGAAAATCACTAAATACATCAAAACCTAATTCATCAATAACTTCAACCATCAAGAACTAAATCAACAAAAAAAGGCAAGAATCAAGTCAAATCAATCAAAATTTTCAAGCATTGAGACCTCACAATTGGATCTGTGTGAACACTTCTGGGAAACGAAGAAAGAAGCTTGGTTCAGTGAGGGAGACCATTGAACAGTGTTGATCCAATTGTGGGGGAGACCATTGAGACCTCACAATTGGATCAGGTCTGATAGGGTTACTTCGGTCATTTAACTCGAGAAGAGCACTGTTGCATTAAAAGCACATCATTTTAAAAACTGCAGTAGGTGAGAATAATTAATTTGATTATCAGTGTTATTCTCTCCGTGTGATCCAGTCATGTGATTTCACCATCTCCTTGACTAGGCCAATGAGTTTGGCAATGGTAAGCCATGGCCCTCTACAACTGATCCATGATGCTCGTGAAAACTTCAAGCACCCTTGTTCAGGCGTTGTTATCGAGACATACGATAGTTCACGAGCTCAACTTGTGTGGGGTATGCCACGTGGACCTTGGGAGTCTACACGGACTACGAGCATCTCTTTGACAAGATTGAGTTTCATGGGAATATGGGAGTGTGCCGCATGAATATGTAGGTTACATCCCTTATGGTCTATGTTCTGCTACCAGAACCTAAAAAGTATTAACAATAAGAATTTAAGCCATCATGGCTCTGATACCAAATATTCACAGGATCGATGATATAACAGCGATGATATAATAACAGTGATGATATAAGATAGATATAATAACTTTAAACAGACTTACAGAAAACTTGCTTTATTGAACTTCAAACTTGTACAGAGAAATATTACAGAAGAGAGAAAAGGAAAATTGAAAGATACATTGAAGGGAAACATTGCCTTCTATTTATACATAAAATGGACTTGAAATTAATAGTTTGAAGTCCGCATAGTGCATGGGGTCGTGTGCTGGAATAATGCAGTCGGTCGGCCCACCACTAGGTGCTGTCTCCTTATCTGATGGAAAGTAGACATCTGATAAAGGAAATACTGTTGAATCAAAGACTTTGGGGAAAAGTTCTTTGGCTTCTTCTGTCGGCAGGATAAGAGGAATCTTTACTTTTTGGGTGGATTCATCTTGTCCTTCAAATGTTCTGTGAGTGAATCCCAATAATCTGCTATTGGAATCTCATCTTCGGAATTAAGATCTTCATTGGGATCCTGAGCATAACCTGCAAGACAAGAAAACTGATTTCCATCTTGACTGTTCTGGCTAGAGACTGATACCATGGATGCATCATCTCTTACTGTAGGGGTAGAGGATTCAAAGGATTTAACAAATTTATTTTTCATGAAATCCATGCATTTAACCATTAAATCTGCTTCGGTAATTAATGGTTGTTGTTTTCTGATCATATCTTTAACAAGTTCAAATGGGTTAAAGATTTCAGGTTCTGGAATAGATAACTTTGGAATCTTATCCATATATTCCATTGTTTTCTTTCTGATCTGATGGAGGAGGGTTTGGATAGGCTCTTGAGTCATGCCTGACCACCATCTGTAATAAAAGATCCTTTGGAGGATTGGTAACTTGTCAGTGGTATAACCACATTGGAAATCCCATTTCCAAATCCAAGGGATTCCAAATTCAGTGAAGAATAATAGGGTGGATTTCCCTACAGGAATATTATCCTGTCCTCGTAATTGAGGATGAAATTGTTGCCATGGCAAATATAATTTGCTAATTGATTCAGGCAACATATCCAGATCAGGGCCAAATATAGCCCACCAGGGTATAACCCAGTTTGGGAAATCAGTCTTAACTGATTGAGGACATATCTTGAAGAACCAAGAATGCCTATGCTTCGGATTTTGATAAAAGAACGAATATGTCCAAGCTGAGATATAATCCCAATAATTGTAACTGTGACCATAGGATATTTTCCTTGGCAAATTGGGATTTAATCCCCAGTCACTAGGCCGTATAAGCCTCTTAAAGATAGCTTTACTATAAGTAAGAGGACTATCTTTGGAATTCGGAAATTGCTTCGTGTGGTTTATCTCCACAGAGGAAGTTTCAGTAAGAATGGCTTCATAGATATATCTATGGCGACCATCCGGTGCAGCATATTGTTGAGTTTGGAAATATCTGGATTTTACTTCCCAAGGATCTGGCATCCATTGCTCATCTTGAGAATCCAGTACCAATACTGTTTGAATATACCTCTGATTAGGTATCCATGGAGTTTCTTGTTCAAGAACCTCTTTCATGGTAGGTTTCTGTCGTTGTTGCTGAGAACTACTGCTTCCTTTAGAAGGAGTGGTGAGCAGATCAGCAACATGCTCCAGATATGGAAACTGATCATCAGTGAGTGGTATAACCACTTTGGCCTTAGCCTTGTTTTTGCCACGAGCCTTTGGAGTATTACCCCGGCCCTGCCCATGGGGGGCTGATTCATGAGCCCTGCAAAAATTCACGAGTTAGAAAATCCGGTAAAGAATTAGAACTGCCTTTAATATATTCAATAGAAAAATCAAAAGCAGATAAATCAGCTTGCCAACCAGCAAATATCTGTTTGGAAACTAAATTTTTTACATCTTTTTCCAGTACTTGTTTAGCAGCACTACAATCAATGCGTAACAAGAATTTCTGATTGATTAAATCATCTTGGAATTTGTAAATGCATTTAACCAAGGGAAAGGATTTCCTTTTTTATGGTTGAATAATTTAATTGTGCATTTTTCCAAGTTCCTGAAGTGAAGCGAACCAGCTCCTCTGTTCCTGTGTTTGGATTTTTCTGTTTAAGAATACCACCGTATCCAATATTGGAGGCATCTGTTTCCACAATTTTGAACCATGAAGAATTGGCTAGAGCTAAGCAAGGAATGTGTTTGGCTCTTAGTTTAATCTTCTGGACTGCCTTGGTGTGATCCAAAGTCCATGGGGAAGGAGATTTCCTTAACCTGGTGTACAAAATTGCTGTATCCTGTGCAAGATTTTTGTAGTGGCTGCGAATATAATTCAAGCTACCCAGAAATCTTTGAAGTTGAGTTTTATCTTTGATTTCATCTGGAAATTTAGAAGCAAACTCAATACTGCGATCAATAGGTCTAATTTTCCCATCACAAATTTCATGACCAAGAAATCTGACCTTTGTTAGAAACAGTTTTAGTTTAGGAGCAGAAACAACTAAACCACTTCGGTAAATTACATCTTTGAAAATTTTCAAGTGTTTATAATGCTGATCTATTGATGTTGAGTATATAAGAATATCATCAATATAAACAATAGAAAATTCAGTGAAAGGATTAAATATGTCATTCAAAATATGTTGAAATTCTGAAGGAGCATTTTTTAACCCAAATGGCATTACTGTCCATTCATACTGTCCGAAAGGTACGCAAAAAGCTGTCTTGTACCTGTCTTCTTCTGCAATTTGTACCTGGTAATATCCAGATTTAAGATCAAATTTAGAAAAGATCACAGCAGATTGTAACCTATCTAGAAGATCTTTGATGTTGGGAATTGGGTATCGGATCCAACTTAAAGTAAGATTAAGTGGTCGATAATCAATAACCAATCGAGGAATTCCTCGTTCTTTTTCAGCATTTTTATTGACATAAAAAGCTCTGCAACTCCAGGGGGAGTAGCTAGTAGTGACAAGCTTTTTGGCCATTAAAGAGCTGATTTCAGCCTTACATAATTCCAAGTAGTCAGCCTTCATGTGGCTGGGACTAGCTTTTGAAGGAATCATGCTATCGGTAAACCCCTTGATATAGGGTAAAGAAACAATATGCTTCTTTCTGGCCCAAAAAGCATTAGGAATCTCACTACAGATTTCTTTTAAAAAGTGTTGCCGTAGTGACTCAATTTTCTGTTGCTCTTTGGGTTGTACCAATCTTTGATTAATTGCTAAGGAGGATACCTCCTGTTGCAAATAATTCAGTTGCTTTTCCTTAAAGATAATATTATCTTTAAGGGCATTGATATGCTTATTTACCGGTGGGGTCAAGAACTGAAAAGTTATTGACTGACCATGTAAAGTAGAGCATATTCCATGAGAATCAATTTTCTCAATTGGCATAATCAAGGCTAAAAAAGGAGTGCCCAAAATAACCTGTTGTGCCAAGTTTCTGATGAGTAAGAAAGTAGATGGGATACAAATACCTTCTTTACAAATGAACACATGATTAAGTTTATACTTAATCTGCATCTTACCTCCACTTGCACTGGTAAGACCTTGAGTGGTTTTCTCAAAATATTGAGTAGGAACCAATCCTTCCTGGATGCAGTTCATGTCTGCACCACTATCAACTAAAGCAATTGCATTAGTGAGAGTGTATTCCTGATTAATTACCAAATTGATAGTAATATACCATTTTTGGTAAGTAACTTGATTCAAGAGTTGAAGATAATTAGTACCTTCTTCTGATTGAGGAGCTTCCTCCTTGGATGAAGAAGATGGAATTGCAGATTTTGCTTTTAAAAGAGTAATTTCCAAATCCATCTTAGTTTGTCTAGACTTCAATTGGCGAATTTCTTCTTTTAAAAGATTAATCTCCATTTTAAGATCAGGGAGATTAGCAGGACGAGAATTTTGTCCTTGTTGTTCTAATCTGCTTAGAACTTCTTTCATGCTGTAATGATTTTCTGCTCGCAGAAAATCTGGATTATCCGTATCCTCCGTAGATCTTGCCAAAGCAGAACCTATTTCAAAGACTTTCATCTTGATTTGAGGATCCTGGATATGATCTATAAGATCCAATAAGGATTGTTGAGTTGAAGTTAAAACATTTAAGCTTAACCCATTCATCTCAACAATTGCCTTGTAATAATCATCATGGGAAGGATTACAGGAACATCTAGGATTTTCAATCTCTGCTTCAGAGGAAGAAGAAGACTGTAATTCCATGACAACATCTCCGTAATCACTTGATGATTCTGGTTCGGAAGAACTAGTATTAAGTAATAATTTACTTAATTGAAGTCTCAGTTCCTCTTCTATGTGAAGACTACTAAGCTTCTCCTTAGTTCTACACTTGTTTGCATAGTGGCCTATACGTCCACATTTGAAACATTTAGCCTCAGCCTTGGGCTTTCCTTTACCCTTTGCTTTAGGAGTATATCTCCTTTTAGGCTTAGTATTCTGTCTAGAATTATCCTTTTCCTTTGAATAATTCTTTCTTTTGGAATACTTCCTTTTATAAGGTTTTTCAACCTTATTTCTTTTCCTAGGTTTAGGATAAGATAAGGGAGTCTGATAGGCAAATTGATCACAAAATTCACCCACTTCCTTTCGACCAGTTAATCTTTGGGATTTTAACTGGGATTGTAATTTCAGATCATTACAGAGAGCTAGACCTTCCTGGATTACAATGTTGACTAATCCACCATAGGTATAGTTTCTGTAAGGGATAGAGATACCATTATTCATATCTCTAAGCTTTTT